ATTTATCGCATGTCCGAGGCGGAGCTCACGGTTCTCCGTGCGCAACTCGACGATCTACTTGACAAGGGTTGGATCCGCCCTAGCAGCTCACCTTACGGTGTGCCCGTTCTCTTCGTTCGGAAGAAGAACAAGGACCTTCGACTTTGCGTTGACTACCGATGCCTCAACGCGCAAACCATCAAGAACGCAGGGCCTCTACCTCGCATTGACGATTTGCTTAAGCGGTTGGGCGGCGCCAAGTACTTTTCGAAGTTGGACCTCAAGTCGGGCTACCATCAGATTTCCATCCGTCCGCAAGATCGGTACAAAACCGCGTTTAAGACGCGATATGGGCATTTTGAGTGGGTAGTTATGCCTTTTGGCCTCACCAATGCCCCGGCCACCTTTCAGGCGGCCATGACCACCGAGTTTCGCGCTATGTTGGACCGCTTTGTCTTGGTCTACTTAGACGACATCCTCGTCTATAGCCGAACTCTAGAGGAGCATCTCGAGCACCTTCGCCGGGTTCTAGAGACTCTTCGGTCAGCCCGGTACAAAGCTAACCGCGACAAATGCGAGTTTGTCCAGCAAGAGCTTGAATACTTGGGTCATTTTGTCTCTCCGGAAGGCATTTGTCCATTGGCGGACAAGATTCAAGCCATCCAGGAGTGGCCCGAGCCGAAGAATGTGACGGACGTCCAATCCTCTTCCTCGACTTGGCCGGTTATTATCAGCGCTTCATCAAGGGTTACTCGAAGATCGCGGCCAACCTAAGCAAGTTACAAAGCGAGGAGCGGCCTTTTGACTTCGACGACRACKCGCGCCATTCTTTTGARACACTCMAAGCGGCACTCTTGTYCGCMGAGGTGTTACATATTTACGACCCGCTTCTAGCTAYGYGCGTSACTACCGATGCGTCGGGCTATGGCATTGGGGCCGTCCTTGAGCAGCACGATGGCACGGACTGGCACCCGGTCGAGTACTTTAGCAAGAAAGTACCTCCCGTGCATTCGATCGATGAYGCWCSRAAGAAGGAGCTTCTTGCCTTCGTCCACGCCCTCAAGCGTTGGCGACATTTCCTCCTTGGTCGGAAAGCATTCCGATGGGTAACGGATAACAATCCGTTGGTATTCTACAAGTTGCAAGACACGATTAACAGTACCATTGCCCGATGGATGGCTTTTATCGACCAGTTTGACTTTTTCCCCGATCACATTCCCGGGAAGTCAAACCGTTTTGCTGACGCCCTCTCACGGCGACCGGATCTTTGCACCGCAGTCTACTCTACCTTCGAGATCGACGACGACTTGCGGCAGAGCTTCATCCGCGGCTATCAAGCCGACCCCCACTTTCGCGACAAGTACGCGAATTGCTCCTCTCTGAATCAGGTGCCTTCGCATTATCGGATTCAAGAGGGCTACTTACTTGTGCATTCACGGGGTAAGGATCTTCTTTGTGTGCCGAGTGATTCACACTTACGCACACGACTTCTTGGCGAGTTTCACGATGCGCCCGCCTCCGGACATTTTGGTGTCAACCGTACACTTGGCCGACTTCGCCAGTGGTTCTATTGGTCCGACCTTCTCAAGGACGCCACCTGCTATTGTGAGTCGTGCGAAGTCTGTCGGCGTTGCAAGTCACGCAACCATCGTCCGTTTGGCGAGCTACACCCACTACCAGTTCCCCTTGGGCGACGGGAAGCGATTGCTATGGATATCACCGGCCCCTTCCCAAAGCACAAGACCGGCGTTGATGGGATCCTCACGGTCGTCGACCGCCTCACCAAGTACGCCATGTTTTTGCCTTGCCGCTACCACGCAAAGGCACCGGAGTTAGCTGAGGTCTTATACACCGGTTGGATTCGCTCCAAGGGCTACCCCAAGGAGATCGTTTGCGACCGGGACACTCGCTTTCTCTCCGACTTTTGGGTCGCCCTCGTCAAGTGATGGGGCTCATCTTTGAAGCCGAGTTCGGCTCGCCACCCGCAAACCGATGGTCAAACGGAAAGGGCGCATCAGACCGCTCAAGTCCTTCTACGCACTCTCATCCGTCCTGACCAGGTTGATTGGGTTAGGCGCTTGCCAGGCGTTGAGTTGGCTTACAACTCATCGATCCATCTGGCTATCGGGATGTCGCCATTCGAATTTGAGCATGGTTCACCCATCTCATCGCCGCTGGACGCCACTTTGCCGCGCACAGCCGAGAGTGACGACCATCTTGCGTTCCTTCGTCGCATGCAAGAGCTTCTTGTCAAGGCACGGGATCAGATGTCGAAGACGCAAATACGGATGAGCCGTCAAGCCAACCGCAATCGCCTTCCTTGCCCGTTCCGCGCCGGCGATCTGGTTCGCCGCGGTGTTCAGCCTTGAGCAAGACATCTCTCGCAAGCTCCTTCCCAAGTGGATGTGGCCTTGGCGCATTCTCTCTGCAGTTGATGACCCCGAGGGGCCTTCATTCCGCATCGCGGTGCCACCTCACTTGCTCGTCCACACGGTGTTCCACTGTTCCAAACTCGCTCCTTTCGTCTCAGCGGAACCCGACGAGTTTCCCGGTCGACGTACGCAAGACCCTCCTTCCATGGACGGATTTCAGGAGGCCGGCTACATCATCACCGACCGGCGCCATGGCAACAAAGAAACAGATTTCCTACTGCAGCCACAAGGCTGACCATTGGCTGACGCGTTCGGAACTGCAGGCCACAGCTCCCGCCGTTCTCTCACGTTATCTTAGCAAAGGGAAGACTACGCCGAGCACTTCAGCTCCTCGCCTTCCTCGCTACATTCCGCCATCGGATCGGCAGCTTCGCCCTCGCCCCGGCTCGTCTTCATAAGGAGGGGGGCGTGTTACATGCTGAAAGCCTACACACGGGCCCCTCA